CTTGTCCACTTTACAGAGTCTGGCGTATCTCGAGCCAAACCTGATTCTTCCAGGTGCATTACAGCGGATTTACCCCGCGATGCAGGGGCTCGTCGAGGTACATCGTACAATCTCGTCTATTCGTGCGTTGCACATGCTTTCAAAGGTCATGGCCAAGACAAAAGGCTTCCGGTGCCACGTTACGTCGGTGCTTGGGCTTGCGTTACCCGGTATTGACGCCAACGATCTGGAAAAGACGCTGCATACCTTGCAATATATTCAGGGTGTGTGCTATCTTATTCCATTCCAGGATCTCACAAAGGCAAAGAAGGCGTCAAACGAGGAAACATCTAGAGATGGAGCAACTACGCCTTCAGATGACGCTGGTGGTGACACCGGTCTGGCTGTAGAATGGATTACAGCGCAGGTTGATCGACTGGAGAATGCCAATGGTAATATTGAGATTAATTACGATGAAGAGCTCAGTGATCAAGACGAGGCTATGATTCTACGATCATCCACGACCGGACTTAATGAGTTCCTCATTACATTCCTTGGTCGTGTCTTCACGCTATTGGAGAATCTGCCAGATGCATCTAGGGTTCGCAGTGGTTCTCCCGAGGAATATGTGGTCAACCAACTTCCAGCGGCTTTCACGCCACTTCTTGCTGCGCTCTCTCCCGAGTTGTACGATATCGCACTTGATAAGATTGCCAACTTCATCACGAACCACGTGGTCCATCAAGCAAAAGACGCCATTGCTTTCATCTGCAACAGTCTTGTTAAGATCAACCCTGAGAAAGCCCTCAAACGCCTTTTGCCGCATCTCCTTGCAGGTATCCGCACTGAGATTGATGAAATCGGCGCTGGCTCGACGCGAACTACAGGCGCAGAAGTGCTTCCACGTGATCGTGCACTTGTCTGGAATCTCTGCATTCTAAGCATGTGTGTTGTCCATGTTGGCGACGCAGTTCTTGAATGGAAGGATGAGCTGTTTGAAATTGCAGAATACATGCAGCAGAAGTGTAGGGGCACACCTACCGTACATGTTTCCAACTTCATCCACCACTTGCTGCTCAATCTTACTTGCACCTACACGATCGACTACTCCATTTATGAGCAAGATGAGCTTGAACAAGGCTTGTCAACAGAGTCGTGGGGTAGACAGGTTGATGTCAAGAAGCTGGACATCAAGTGGCACACCCCTAGCTCAGAAGAGATCGACTTTGCTATCAAGCTTTTCGAAACTCATGCTAACAACGCAATGAAGGCACTTCATGCCCTCACACAGCCGGACTCTCCAATCAAACGTGAAGGCACTGGAAAGGATTGGTCTGATGAAGTATCTCGCAATCTTGTTCTGTTGCGACTGATCATTTCTGGTATCTCAGTCTTGTTCGATGTTCGGCACGACCAGGTCACAGATGGCAACAACGCATCAGACGACGGATCGGATCTAGACGCAATGGACACAGAAGGCATCGACGACGATGCTGGTCTTGGCGAAGCTGAAGATGAAGAGGTCAAGCCTACTTTCCAGTACGAAGCTGGCTATCCACTCCGTCGTGGTGACAAAAACTACACGCTTGTCCACGACTTACGTAGGCAGGTTGGTGAGATGCTTCACAGCGTACACCAGTTCTTGATTGAGAAGCAACCTGATGATGTGCCTTGCTTCAATTCGTTGTACAATGCCTACCGCTCATGGTTCATCGACGTTGGCATTGAGCGATCTGCTCATGTACTTGATCGGATTTCAAGGCTTTTGGAGAACGACGAGCGACCTTTCAGGTTCAGTGGACTGCGCAAGCAGTATCCTAGACCTCTGCTAGTCCGGCGGGCAAATGTCTACCACCTGCAGCGGTTGAGACACAACGCCAACCCCCGACCAAAGACAGACCTTGACATGACTCTGTTGCTAGATCTTGCCGAATCTAGCATCTCCCTCTACACTGAGATTCGACGTACTGCGCAGACCGCTAATGAATCAGCCGTTAAGTGCGTGCTGGGCGCTAGACCACTTGTCATTCCATCATTACTGGACGCTTTTGTCAAGGCTGTCGCTGAGAGTGATTACCCTCGCATCAAGGGTGCCATGTTCGCTCTTCTTTTTGGTAGTTTGGCAAAGACAATCAGTCGAGACTGGCGGTTTACCCCCAAACTGATCAAGGCCTTCATCGAAGTTACCGGTGCTGACAAACCTTCTGTGCAAAAACTTGCCACCAACGCTACTTTCCAAATCATGGACATGGGTAAAGCAATGGAACGCATGGTTATTCTTCCCAAAGAGGTGGTGGAGTCTATTGCGTATGCCATTGACTCTAGTGAGGGTGACAGTGTACATATTAAAGTCACCAAGCGACGAGATTATATCAAGAAGAAGAGAGCTCGTATCGAAGACAAGAAATCTGAGTTATCCAAGGAGCTAGTGGAGATCGCCAACACTGAACATTGGAAGAAGGTCAGCAGGACCGCGGCCATTATCGTCAATCTAGGCATGCGTTACGACACTATTGCATCCGACGAGATGATCGACCTTGTCACCAAGGGATCGATTGACCAGCATCCTAGTCTCCGGGGTTTGTATGCTGGTGCCCTCATTGGCCTCTACTCAGTCATTCAGACACGCGCTATCACAGGTCACGACTATGAGAAATATCTGTTGAACGAAGAAGATCTGCCAGACAAGATTTCGGTGGAGACAAAACCAGAAGATCCTAACTGGACGGCAGAGTACTTGGCGGCATTTGCTCAGCCAGAAGCCAAGTATTACATCGACTTCGATTACCCTGGATGGTTGGTGTGGACCAAGAGTATGACTGCGTTCAAGCCAAATGCTCCGCAGCTGTCATATGACGAGGTTGAAAATGGGGTTCGCCAGAAGATCGCGAAGCATCTTACGCGATCTTGGTTCTCCAACTATTTCGCTTTCATGAAGCAGGAGCCACGCGATAACAGCGCTGATCGTTTCCGCATGTCAAGTGCAATGGTGTTGACCCATTCATTCGATCTTGTGTTCAGTGGCCTGACAGAAGCTACATTTGAAGACATCAAGGATCTGACCCAGTCGGTATATGCCGATGGCAGTGATAAGCATCAACACCGCGCGACTGCTGAGATCATGGCTGCATTGCTTTCATGTGCACCAGATCTTAAAGCCGGCCAACGGGAAGCGGTGTGGGAATATGTCTTTCCTATCGTCCGTGGCATCTTTCAGGACGGTCTGACGCCAGAAAATTCCGGCTACTGGACCACCTTCCTGCATGTCGTGTTGCAATCCAAAGATCCTCGACGTGGGTGGCCGCTTGTCGACTGGTTGGCCAGTTTCCGTCTCGATATGGATTCCAATGCCGCTTTCAAAGAGAGTTCAAAGATCCATCTACTTACTCAGTGCATCTGTGATGCTGGTTGGCATTTCCGGTTGGAGAAGCCAATTTTGGAAGACTTCATGAAGCATCTCGACCATCCCTACAAGGGCGTGCGTGAGGCTATGGGCCAGACTATTGCGAGCATCTTCAGGACACGTTACCACGAATCATATAAAGATGTCGGTACGCTTATGAAAGCACAGAAAGAGGCTTCATCAATCGGAGTCCGACCTTACCAACCTACGGAGGAGTTCAAAAAGACCATTATCGATGTCTTCGACCGGCTTGAAGTATGGCGCCAGGAGCGTCCTGCAGGGCAGCAAACGCCTTCTTCCTACACGTCTGGTGGCAAGACAGTCTTGCTCTGGCTCGACACCACTCTCTCTTCGTATGAATGTACATCACTCATTAGCTTCTTCCCGGATGTCTTCATGGAGCAACTACTCCACATGATGGACATTAAAGAGGATCCTGAACTGCAATCGCTCGCCTACCACGTTTTCCGGCATCTGCCAAACATCCCGCATCGCGAGGGCGAGGATTCTGAATTCATTGCTGCGCTGATTCGGATTGGACGCAATGCAACCAGCTGGCATCAGCGTCTCAGGATCTTGATCAATATCCAGGTTATCTACTTCCGTCGACTGTTCTTGATGAGCGAAGAGCAGCAGCAGAGCATGTTCGATTGCGTTTCTGCTATGTTGTCAGACTCTCAGCTAGAGGTGCGTATGGGCGCAGCTACTACCTTGTCTGGTATGATCCGTTGCTCGCCGATTGCATTCCGCGATCGCCAAGTCTCAACGCTTAAGGAGCGGTTCACCAAGCAGCTTGCCAAGAATCCGCTGCCAAAGAAGCGCATTCCAGGCACGCCAACGACTGAGCAAGGAAAGCTTGTACTCACTCGCCATGCTGCTGTGTTGGGCCTAGGTGCGCTTATTCAAGCATTCCCTTACCAGAGCCCTCCGCCAACCTGGTTACCGGAGGTGCTGGCTACACTTGCAAGAAAGGCAGCAGCTGATCCTGGTATGGTGGGCAAAAGTGTCAAGACTGTTCTTGCAGATTTCAAAAAGACCAGGCAAGATACCTGGCATGTGGACGTTAAGGTATGTATCTCCATCCCCAGAAGATCCACGGGTGTATCTCGATACGAAGCAAATGCTAACAATAAAAATAGGCGTTTGAACAAGAGCAATTGGAGGATCTGGAGGGTGTACTGTGGAAGAGTTATTTTGCTTAGATCCAAACCAGGCGTTCGAGGACCAGGACTGGCGGCATTCACGAGAATTTGGGGAGAGGGAGAGTCATGTACTATAGCCAATAACAGAGAGGACCATAGCTATGAATGATATGATAGGGTCTTGGGTGCATAGCGCTATGTGGAGAATATGCTATTCTCCATAGTTCCGTGCTTATACATCAAAACGATACATTATGACTGTACCTGTTGCTTACTCATGCGTCACGGACGAAAAGGCCAATTCTTTTGCATTCCGCCCTTAAGAGTTGCAGCTGCCCCTCTTGAACCCCACTTGGGGAGGTTTCGGCCGCATCTACCCCATTGACATCATACTTCCCTAACACCTCTCTTGTCAGACACACCCAAACTACCATAGCTTCAGACCTTTTCTCTTCTTCTCTTGCGCTTTTCAAACAATGTCGCTTACAGTACTGTCTGAATCCGACGTCCGCACACTTCTTTTGCAATTGACGAAGCAGGACATACTAGACTTGCAGCAAAGCCTCGCAGATGCACTGCATCACTATTCAACAAGTACCGAAGAAGAAAGTGACAATGGGTGCTGTGAGAGTTACCAGTCTGCCGGGACGACTTTGAGAAGTAAGGATGGAGGAACGATGACGGTTACGCCGGCTAGTAGGTATGTCTGGCTTTCTTTTTTTCTTTTCGAGTTTGAACATGGAAATGGTGTACCTGTTACTGATACTTACGATATAGCAACGACGGCCTCGGAGTCAAGATTACAACACATCTGAGCGATAGTAGCAAGGCCTCAAGGTTGTCTGACACTGAGTCGATAACTTCTTCCCTGGGTTCAGTCACAATATCTCAGAATTCTACAGCATCAACCAAGAGTTTGGACACCACGACATCGCCTCGTCACCTACTGTCACTTACTTCCTCGACTACGCAACATGGCAGTCTTACCTTATTCGACAACTCCGGCAAGCTGCGCGCTCTTCTCAACACCTCTGAAGTAACAGCTTTCCGCACTGCGCTCGCAAGTACCATGCTGTTTAAGAAACGGCGCAATGTACATGACGTGGTTGTCTTTGGAGCCGGGCGACAAGCTTACTGGCATATACGCCTGGCGCTCTTACTTCGAGGCGAAGAAATTCATCATCTAAACATCATCAACCGCGATTTCGAGCGCGTGCATCAACTACTCGAGACACTATACAACCCGCACGAAGCGCCCAAAGGATTCAATCCAGATCCTCAGCATATTCCCGCGTACAGACAATCAGCTCCATCGCAGACTGAAGTCCTCCACAGGCCAAAGATACAAATCCTGACTCCCTCGCATGGCGAGTACAATCGCTACCTACACGATACGCTTCGCTCGAGCAGCTGTATCTTTCTCTGCACGCCCTCCGCAATACCACTCTTCCCAGCAGCCATTCTGACCAACCCCGAAGGCCGTAAGAAAGGCCGCTACATAGCAGCCATTGGCTCAGTTTCCCCCTCAATGATAGAACTGCATCCAGACGTTGTGCGCCAGAACGTCGCGCCTGAGCACGGCCACCGCCATTTCCACAAGCATGCCCAGCAAGGGGGTGCGATTGTGGTAGACAGCGTAGACAGGTGTCTGAAAGAAGCCGGTGAAGTCGTGCAAGCTGGCCTGGGCCCCGAGCAAGTTGTTGAAATCGGAGAGCTAGTCATGTTGAAGCGGGATGCAGAGAGGAGACGCATCGAGTGTATGGCTAGTAAGAAGATGGAAGATGAAGGCCTCGACGTGGATGGTGTCGAGCTGGGCGAGTGCGAGGCGGCGAAGAAGAAGAGACGAGGTGGGAATGGGAAAGAGAAGGATAAACACCACGAGAGTGAGGACAAGGCGCATGAAAGGCTGATAGAGTGGTTAGTCAAGGGTAACGTAATATACAAAAGCGTAGGATTGGGCCTGATGGATGTCGTGGTCGGTGGGGAGCTGGTCAATCTGGCGAATGCACGAAACATCGGTACCAGGATCGATAACTTTTAGAATGAGTTGCCTCGACCGTACCCAGGCATAGGACTATCCACAGAACACTCTTGTGAGTGCAGCTAGCTTCAACTGAAGCGGCAAGCCCAACAAATATATCAGTACCTGATATGCAAAAATTTAGCCAACAACATCACATCACATGATTAGTGTAGAATTGGCGTGCGTTATCAAATCGATTCCAGTCAATGTAGTCGTTAGCGACTTCTTTTAACCCTCCTAAACTCCGTTGGTATTGTGAACCGCATACATGCAGAGATAAGAGACACGCCATAAAGTCATCGTGAACCCTTCCAAACACCCCAAGACACGCTTAGATCTTGATGGCGTTCTCAACAGCCTTCCTGCGCTTCTCCATGCGAGCGTTGGCCTTGGCACCCATGATACCACCACCCCAGTGGCGGGAAGCCTCCTTGTGGTGTGACTCGAGGTAACCGTCGTTGACAGCGGTGACGAGCTTCTGGAGCTCGTTCTTGTCCTCGGAGCGGACCTCGGTCAGGGCCAGGACGGCGGCGGTCTTCTGGTGGACGACCGTACCGAGACGGGCCTTGCCCTTGACAATGACGTATGGGACACCCATCTTGCGGCAGAGAGCTGGCAGGAAGATGACGAGCTCAATGGGGTCGACATCGTTGGCGATGAGGACGAGCGAAGCCTTCTTGTTCTCAATGAGGCCGACAACGTGGTTCAGACCGTACTTGGCGACGTAGGGCTTCTTGGAAACATCCTCCTTCTTCTTGCCCTCGGCAACGGCGGTGGCCTCCTTGGTGAGCCTCTCCTTCTTCTCGGCCTTGGTCTCGGGGCGGTACTTGTTGAGGAGCTTGAAGGACTGGGTGGCGCTGAATGTGGGTGTTAGCGATTGAAGACGAAAAATGGCAGTGGGTAACGTACAGGTTACGGTCGGCAACGTGCTGGAACTGAGCGATGCTGGATCAAAGTCAGACGTGGGCCATTGTATAAGGTTTATTTGTGGGAGACGAACGAAGGAGGGACCTTCAGGCGCATGTTGAGGATCTTCTTCTGGCGCTGAAGGCGGACGTAGGCTGGCCATCGGACCATGCGGCCGAGGTTGCGCTGGGGCTGGATGTCCTGGCCGATGCCATAGTTGCGGGGCCTCTTCTCGATGAGAGGGTTCTATCTTGGTTAGCTGAAAAGTTTTCCATGGAACTGGATGTGCGCAATTGAATTGAGTTGATGGTTAGAAGGTAGAGAGGGCGAATGGAAAAGCTTGTGCTCAGCAGCAAAGGCAGTATTTGATACGAATGGAGAGAGAGGGGGACTCACCTTCTGCTTCTTCGCCGCAGCCGACTTAGAAGTGGCCTGGGGGAAAGCCGCAGGCTTCTTACCGCTTCCTTTTGGTGGCATTTTCTGTCATAGAGAACAAACCATTAGCGAATGTTCAACGCATTTTCGGTTTGAATCTCGTAAGAGCGAGAAGGCCTTGCGGCCGTTCTACAACTCTAGCCATCCTCACGCCTCGTACTCATGCATATGCAAAGAGATGCGGCGGAAATGCTAACGAGCATTCATTATGTGGAAGTGCGCTTACGTTGTGTGTTGGCGGCGGTCGACGAAATTGACGTTGGCGAAATTGGGCTTGACGAAGAAATCGAGAGCGGGCGCAGAAGTCGCTCCTACCGAAATCCACGCGAAGCGAGTGGGCGCGGAGGTGGAACAACCTTTGGCCGACGCTAACGCCCTACCCAATCGGAGTGCGGCAAGTCCCTCTACCACGACATCCCGAATCGCAACATGAAGAGCGCATCCGAGTCTTCTGGACAACGCTCAACTAGTCGCTTGGTTTCATTGTTTTGTCTGTGGAAGACAGCTCTCCTAACACTTGCAGCCTTCTGTCCAGGCCCTGGGTACGACACATCAGGACTCATACTCCTGGATACAAGCGTGCAGCGCCACGACCATTTCAATGTCTATACACGCTTTGAGCGATTCGTACTCAATCTGCTCCGATGGGACGCTTTGTACTTTGTAAAGTCGGCTGAGCGTGGGCTGATCCATGAACAAGCATGGGCTTTCAGCGGGGCGTACTCGCGTCTCCTCAACATAGTAACGGGTCAATGTGAGTAAGAAGCGGCTACTATTTCCGGACGAGTGCTGATTGCCAGCAGTCGTGAGTGGAAGCGTAACACCTCCGCTTCACTACTACGTGCTGGCTGGCATCATTGTTTCCAACGCTTGCCACCTCATTTCTGTGCTAGTGCTGCATCGTCTCCTGACCCTGGTTCTGGAACCGCAACAACAAAAAACGATTCCCTTTGTTGCGGCCATTCTGCATGTTTTGACACCTGCATCTCTGTTCATGTGTGCGCCATATGCAGAGGCTATCTTCTCTCTCCTGAACTTTACGGGTATGCTTCTATACGCTCAATCCAGGACCATAGCTAGAAGCACAACCTTTTCGATCCAGGAAGACATCCAGAAGGTCGGCGCTGGCCTCTTTTTCGCCGCCGCAACCCTTATGAGAAGCAATGGCTTGCTTAGCGGCACCATACTATTGTACGATGTCGTGAGATATCTTTTTGCCCTTAAGTCTACCCAGCGAAGCATCCATGACGTAAGGCGGATCCTCGTCACTTGTATTTCGGGTAGTCTGATAGCCATTGCCTTTATCGGGCCGCAGTATCTTGCGTATACAGAGTTCTGCAATGGAGAGAGTGGCACTGGAATCCGACCATGGTGCGAGAAACGCCTCCCAAGCATCTACTCGTGGGTACAAAGCCATTACTGGTAAGTGACCTCCATGAGATGCTTACTGATCTAACCTTTCTTCAGGAATGTGGGACTTTTCCGGTACTGGACTGTATCGAATTTGCCCCTGTTTATGCTAGCAGCACCGATGCTATGGCTTTTGTTTACCTCTAGTGTCACCCTTCTCCGCAGCTGCGCTGGGGACCTGTTGCGTACAACCCCTGTCTCTGGAGCCAGCGTTACGCAGGATGCAGGTTCTGCCATATGCAAGCTACCTGAATTGGCACTTCCACAATTATTCCTGGCTGTCTCGGCTATCACAACTTTTCATGTTCAGATTGTCAATCGCATCGGCTCAGGCTATCCTGTTTGGTACCTGATGGTTGCGACATGGGCGGTAGACTCGCAGGGATCGTCTTCCACAAAGAACCTATCGTCGAGGGCACAATGGTTAGTTCGCGGTATGGTCATTTACTCGCTAGTTCAAGGGATGCTTTATGCGAATTTTCTCCCGCCAGCATAGATTTCTAGATCAATTGCCTTGCTTAGTGAAAGACGGGATTTTATTGAACTCAACCATGGTATTTTTTTGATAAATTAAGGAACCATAATGCAGCCTTTTATAGCCTTGAAAGCTCTTTCGGTTGATCGAAACGGTCCTGGGTTGAGATTTCACCCAGCAAGATGAGCAAGATCAACATGCTGGGTCATCGAACGTGCAGTCGAGGTGTGACGGGGTTAACTCGTTATCTCTATCCTCCACACTATATGTTGATAAATGAGTACCGGGATTCGATGAACAAAGATGTAACATAGCTGCGCAAACACGGTCGCGCAGATATTGGTGGCATTCAAAAGCGTGTACTCTAACTATTGAGCAGTCCAACTCCCCGCGTTTGGTGCGACACACTGCTGCCATCCAAGTGCGCCCAATTCCAAGCCATATTTCTGGTACCGTCAAGGCTCTGTACTAATGTGCCTTTGGAGTTACCAATGGAGCGTCAGCTGGTATGCGGGTATATCCCAGTGCTATGGCTCTGGATTTCCCCCCACCACGCCCAGTGCTGCTACTATACATTTTTTTGACAAAAAGTCAGGTAGCAGTAGAGACAGCATCCTACAGAAAAAAAACGTCTCGTATCACAGCTCGAAGCGAAGGGTTGTCAGCAAACACGACCTTTGATGCTAAAGTATTGCACGGGCCTGCAGTTCGTGCAACAATTCCATGCACATTCATCTTACTCTGGGATTCGTCAAGACATGAGATTCCCGTATTTGTGGCTGTGGCGTGCCATGGACGCTGTATCGAGCAGTGGGCATCAGCCTGCTTCTGCTTACTGTAGAGTGCCCGCTTGGCAATGTACATAGTACCTGCATAAGGTGCAGAAGCCAAGTGCCCTGGCGACGCCTTTCGTTGACAGCCTAATCTCTAACCAAGCAAGAATACGACGTGGCGTCGTGGTCGTGGGCTAGTCGGCTTGCAACGTCCGTTGATTATGACCAGCGCCTCGACCGCCACTGGCAACACTGGAGCAACACATCCGGCGCTCGAGTTCGGCGTATGTCGCTCGAGGGTAATACGCCTCGACTGAGACTTGCAAGAAGGCGTCAACTGGCACCGGACCAGCGCCAGAGGGTGGATCAAGATTGGTATGTTTTTGGACTGATGAGGGTAAGACTTCAATAAACAGTATTTCAGGTACCAGGCCTGAAGTACAACGGGACAGATGTATAAATTTTGCTCTACGGCTCGATAATCGTGGTTGGGCACGCAGCATTGACTGTACGATATCTACAATCGCAAATTGCCATCAGAGCCAAGATGAAGTTGTCTACCTTTGCTACCCTCCTTGCTCTCTCGACGGCTTTAGCAGCCGTGCTGGAACCCAGACAACAATGCTCCACATCGGACGCTTGTTACAGTGCCGTCTTTGGCGATGGCAGCATGTCAAGCGTAGTTCGGGCAGTGGAGGATTGTGAGGACTTTCTCACTACCAGTGTGATTTGGCACCCCATGTACGTGAACGCACCTCTTTGAGATATCTACTTGGGAGCTCAGACTGATCATGTTTACTGTAGTATCACCCTTACGGTTCTCAGCCAGACCATCTCAACGACGACTCCACCATGCCCACCCACTGTGCCCGTGACACCAAGTGAGGCACCGCCCCAGTCGACAGTGTCGCAGGGCAAGCAACTTGTGATGCGCCAGGCTCTCCCTACAGATTTCTCCACAACAACCGTGTTTGGACCGCGGCCTTCGTATGCCACACAGGCCTGTAACTCTGGGACCTACTCGTCTGCCTGCTCTTGTGCAAACATTACTACCGCTTTGGTATCGTATCTTGGAACAGTAAGTAAGCTCGTATATGTGGAGGGAGACTGGACAGAAAAAAAAGAAAGTGTTTAGAATGCTAAGTTATTGCTAGGTTGTGACGAATACAGCCACGACAACGATTACTTCGATTGTGACCACCAGTGGGTCTTGCCCAGGTGTCTCTGTGTCTTCTGCATCGTCTACTTTGGCTTCGTCGTCTTCAACACTGTCCAGTAGCAGCGCAGTGTCGAGTGTGGCCTCTTCTGGCAGCACAAGCAGCTCATTATCTAGTTCGACTTCGTCGTCACAATCTAGTAGCAGCGACAGCAGCGCATTATCGAGTTCAACGGCATCCTCAACTGGGTCAAGCAGTGCCTCTGTTAGCAGCGCATCTGTTAGCAGCACAGGCAGCACCTTGTCTAGTTCAGTCACGTCCTTGACTAAAAGCAGTAGCTCATTTGTTAGTAGCACATCAGCCAGCGCGACAAGCAACTTTAGTAGCTCGAGTGTTACAGCAACGGGACCAAGCTCATCGCCTACAAGTCTGAGCAGTCTATCTAGCACTGGAAGCGAAGTTGTTCCGTCGACCATGGCGAGCAGCTCAGTGAGTAGTTCAGCAAGCAGTTTGAATGGCACGTCGTCAGGTACAAGTGTGACAGCTACTAGCAGTGCATCAGTATCAACGGACAGCTCGTCTAGTAGTTTGAGTGGGTCGTCTTCAGCGACGAGTGTGGCGTCTAGCACTGGCTCATCGACATCTCCCAGCAGCTTATCCAGCAGTTCGAGTGGGACAAGCATGGTTCCGACCAGCAGCTCTTCGGCAACGTCGAACAGCTCGTCAGTTGTCCCAAGTAGTGCATCCAGCACTTCGAGCAGTTTGATCAGCATTTCGAGCAGCCCAACTGCTACTTCTGAGAGCTCTTTGGTGTCTTCGAGTAGCCCGTCTTCATCGTCGATTGTGGCTACAAGTTCGTCAGACAATATTACATCATCAGCAACTGCTTCTATCAGCAGCAGCAGCGTGACTTCCTCTCAACTATCAAGCAGTAGTTCATTGTCGGATTTGGCTAGTAGTAGCTCAAGCTCGTCGACGGTTAGTAGTGTGTCGGTTAGTTTGAATAGCAGCAGCAGCAGTGTGCCATCGTCATCGTCTCTTGCCTCATCCGTATCGAGTACGTCGGCGGCGTCTTCAACGACAGTCACGTCAACAAGCGCATCGACAAGCAGCGCAACGCCGAGCGGGCAACCGTGTGAGGGGCTTGGGGCGGAGCGATGCGAGGGTGTGTGCCGCGACACGACGTCGGATGCACTGAACTGCGGGCGGTGCGGCAATGCGTGCACAAGTGGGCGGCAATGCATCAACGGCGTATGTGCATCTCGGCCCTGCGACTCGACGTGCAACTTTGACCGACTGTGCGGGTCAGGCAGCGGGGGGTCGACACGGTGCATTTGCGCGACGACGATTGAGGGCAACGGAGTATGCTTTGACAAGAACCGGTACAGTTGCGGCGACGTCAACCTTGTGAGGTGCCAGAGAAGCGTGTTCGGACCAGAGGGGTGCCCGATTGGGTCGGTGTGTGTAAGGGACGTGTGCAATTGTGGCGCCGTGCCGGCAGCAGGCATTTGTGTGTCTACAAGTGGATGTGGGGATTCGGGGACCAATATCTTGGGGAGCCTGGTCAGGATTGGGGAGATGGAGAGGCGCAGGAGGGCGGCGAGGGGCGTGGGAAAGTAAGGCATGGTGGAGGAGGGGGACAAAGAGGAGAAGGCATCGTGAGGAGGGGAGATGGTGAGTGTTTGTGGTGGGGGTGCACGGGGTTTGTTGGTTGCTTGTTGCATGCATAGCATACAGACACAAATGGAAGATGAGTGAGTATAAGTAATATGTGCACACACATATATAGACAAGCGATGCAGGCAGAGGCAGGCACCAGGTTGCAGGCTGCAGGCGCGGGATCGGGGGCAGGTGCTAGCGACAAAGAGGGCATTTTGTTGTTGTTTTTATTATTATTTGTTGTCGATGGGAATCGAAGCAGGTGGCCGAGGCATGAATTTGCACGTCGATAAGAGTTAGTGGAATGACGGTGGCATGCATGGGCGTTTGCTCCACGGGCTTGCAGGGCGGCCAGGACATGCTCTCCGCGTTAGCGCGGCGTTGCTGGGACGATTGCCCGCAATGTTTATCCACCAACTCGGCAGGGCATAGCCGGCCCATGCAGCCAGTGCAACCACAACCACATCCACACCCACCACCAACACCACCACCACCATCATTTGTCTGCCATGTCTGCCATTCTGCTGCCCTAGACCTGTTCATCCCGTTTCAACTTCCCCCCTCCCCCTCCTCTCCTTTTGTTGCCTTCTTCTTCTTGCCCGGAGCCTGACCTCAAGGCCGCGCCGAACATGGCTGCTGCTACCACCACTGCCGCCGCCGCAGGTGCTGCTGCCGCACAATCACCAGCACCAACAACAACGGGCCATCGCCGTAATCGCTCCGCGGTCCTGAGATCTTTTATATCATCCAGGGGCCACAGGCGCTCGCCCACCGAAGGCTCTGCCATCCCATACACACCCGTGTCCGCTTCGCCGCCCTTCCTGCCCGCCCCCAGCCTCCAGCCACCACTGCTCCCGCCAGACCACCCTCACAGCGCCAGCCAGTCGTCACCCCGCAAGTCCAACGACAACCGCTCCACAAGCACCAAGAAGAGCCTGCACAAAAAGTCGCTCAGCTCTGTGTCGCTGCGATCGCTGGCAAAGCGTGCCGACGACAAGCCCAAGGAAAAGAAGTCGTCTGACTTGAGGCGGTCGCAGGACGAACCAGAAAAATCCCCCCGCCCCAAGTCGTCCACCAACCTGGCTGCCATGTTCAGCAAGGCCAAATCCCGAGACCGCTCCCCCACCAAGGAATCGAGAGACAAAGAAAACACTGAGCCGTCCCGCGCCGCATACGCGCCACCGCCCCCTCCCACTCCCATCTGGGCAGAGTTCAGTTCCCAGTCCGCCATGCCCGCTGCCTCCAATACCCCTCTGGACAGTCGTCCCCGCACCAGCACCGAGGGAGGCCTTGGCCGATTCCCTCCAGCTGACTACTCGCCCACCAAGCAGCGCAACTTCTTCGAGTACGGTCAGCCTGCGGTGCGAAACCCCGCCACCAAACAGCGGCCCAAGTCTATGTTTGCCGCCAGCTCGTCCACTACCTCTCTGCTCCTTGACACATTCTCCCGCAAGAGGAGCAACGAGCGCATGCCCCTGTCCGACACACAGGGCAATGAAGGCCGCTTCAGAGACCCTTCTCCCAGCAAAAGCAAATCCACGAGGCCAGCGCTTGGTAGAGCTAGTACCGACAGCGGCAGCAAGGACTTCAGTGTCAAGCCCATGGCACCGCCCCCGCCCCCAGCCTCACCAAAGAAACAAAACAGAGTCATGGCCGCCGTCGCTGCCTTCAACGGCAAGGCTAAGCAGGCTGACGGCCCCCCAACCCCCACTGTCAAGCACGACCCCAAGGTCGTCGATGCTGAATTTGAAGAGGTTCTCGTAAGTCTTGTTACTTCCCCGACCTGCTCGTGTGCTCACCTCCGCAGGAATCGCGAAATATCCCTACCCACCAACGTGCGCAGATGAGAACATTGAAACTCGAAGTCAAGGCCGACTTTGTGCGCATGCACAAGCTCGACACTCCTCAAACTTCGCGCAGCTCGTCTGGCACCGCTTCCGCCGGGGAAACCACCAAGCCGGCAGCACAAAAGACGTCCAAGTCGCGGCACGGATCTCCTGTGGATGACGCTGACCTTGATGCACAAGCAGATCCGTCTGGCTATTCGACCAAGCGCGAGCGTCCAAGGAGTAGGACATTTACCTTCAACAGAAATGATTCACCGACCAAGAAGCAGAAGGGTGACTTGGGTGAGCGCAAGACGTCTGCCAAGACTGCAACCATCCCAAAGTCTCCCTCTATGCGCTCCTTGAGGTCTAATCATTCAGAACGTTCCGTGTCCAACGGTGCCAAGTCAGTCAAAGCTGACGAGTTTATTGCTTACTTGAAAAAGACGCCAAAGCCCCAAAACGTCGAGGTTGGCAAACTGCACAAACTTCGCCTGCTCATTCGCAACGAGACAGTTGACTGGGTTGACAATTTCATCCAGGATGGTGGTATGACTGAACTGGTAGGCCTCCTCCATCGCATCATGGAGATCGAATGGCGCGAGGATCACGAAGACACCTTGCTCCACGAACTGCTTCGCTGCCTCAAAGGACTTTGCACCACTGCAACGGCCCTAAAGCAACTCAAGGAAATCTCCTCCACGCTCTACCCAGCTCTGCTTGCCATGCTTTTTGATGAGGAGCACAAAGGCCCGAGTGAGTTTACTACGCGTGAGCTCATCATCGAAATCATCTTCGCACACCTCTCTATGGCTCCAGAGGCCGAACTGGGAACTCGTGCTGCCGAATTGATGAAGTACCTCAAGGATCCCGTAAAGGAGAAGGAGACATCAACAGTCCCCTTCATCCTTCAAATGCATCAGCCGCGCCCATACCAAGTTTGGTGCAAAGAGCTGTCCAATGTTACCAAAGAAGTCTTCTGGATATTCATTCACCATTTGAACGTAGTTCCAGTCCCACCAAGACCAACAGAGGGCAGGTCGTATGCCAAGACTCATTTCCCAGGCCAGCGAGCTATTGTCCCAGCAGCACCCTATGTCGGTGGTGTAGAATGGGATGCTACCAATTACCTCGCCACTCACATTGATCTCCTCAACGGAATCATTGCCTCCATACCCACCCGCTCTGCTCGCAACCAATTCCGCCAGGAGCTCAAGGTTTCTGGCTTCGAAAAGGTCATGGGCCACCTTCGTGCTTGCAACCCCAAGTACTATGGCGCAGTCCACGACAGCGTCAAAGTATGGATTGGGGCTGCCCTTGAAGATGACTGGGACGTCAAGACTGTGCGTATGGGTGCCGGTGAAAGCAAGAGCAGTGCCAGCCCTCTCAAACAGAGTCCCAAGAAGAAGGTTGAGGCCCCACCTCAACTTCAGGCACCCCCCAAAATGGACATTGGCCTTGGCTTAGGACTAGGTTTTGACAGGGAAATCTCCATTGGTCACTCGAAGAAGGTCGTTGACGACGACTGGATCTGATGTGTTTGATCGGTACCTGACGTTGAAAAACGTTATGCATTCGATTGTGCTGAGATTGCGCAATCACTTCCTGGCCGTTTTTGGTCTTGGATAGAATGATCAGCATATCTTGTTCAGGTTGGTGATACAGCAACAGTTACGACACCCTTGAGCCCACCAGCGTCAGAATCATGACCAGCCAAGGCACAGCAAAACATTGTGGGCGCACATTTATTACGGAGTCTGTTGGTTTGTCTTTTCCTACGGACTTTGCATTGGCGCCATGGAGCTTTCTACTCACTCGCCTCATCTCAACATCTGCATTCCTTCTCAGGCGTTGTTCCCTCGTTCTCCGCGGCCCCCTTTGCTTACTTTGGACCTGGAGCAACAAGCGTCTCCATTTATGACTTCCTTCTCTCTCTCTCTCTGTGTACCTCTTCATCTCAATGTCTCTCTCTCCATCACCTTGTTAGCAATGAAAAACACGACCTTGACGACCCGAGACGGCTGGTGTTTTTTATTTTATTTACCCTTTCTCCCGGACCTTTGTTTATTTATTTTTTTCTCACTGTACCTTTTTGTGCCTTGTTTTCATTCGTAATAGGATGAGCAAAGGGGTTAGGGTAAATAAATTCTGCACTACACGAGATGAATTTGAAAGCAATTGAACAAACACTACAGTAGAATGCCATTACGTGCTTACTTGTTCTTGGTTTCCAGCGAGCCGACTAACAGATGACATAAGTACCCAACGGAGGACGTAAAGGTAAAATAAGTAGATGATCCAAACAGGATATCATATGGGTATCTATTTCACCACCGTTATTTACGCCTAAGCCTTGTCGTTTCACACGTTAACCCTCCTACTTTACATGGAAAGAAAAAAGACAGACAGGAAACCCAGAGGCCTACTAGTCTAGTTACAAAAAAGCCTTACCCTGCATAACTCCATGCCGCTAAAGATTAGACGGTGACAACGAGGGGACAAAAGAAAAAAAAAAGGGGGGGCAAGCGACTAGAAGGCATTCGAACCAAAAATCACGCCTTTTTCTTGCCTTTTCTCCTCGCCTTGTTCTTCCCCACTTCAACACTCGCACCCTCAACCTCACCCTCTTCCAACCCCAACACCGCATTCCCTTCCATTTCCTTCAGCTTCTCCTGGCCACTAATGAAAAAACTCAAATCACGATTCTGTTCCTCGAGATCTGCTTTGGCTGCTTCCAGTTCGGCGACGCGCTGTTCGGCCTCTTGGGCTTTGAGCTCCAGATGCTTGATGCGCTGCATGAGCGACTCGTTGACAATCTGCTCTTCCTTGTACTGCTTGGTGAGTTTGCGAGCGAGGTCAGATGCCTGTGCTGCTTTTTGGGCGTTGCGGGCGGATTCTTTGGTTAGTGAGGCGATTGTGGCGGTTGCTTCTTGGTGCTCGGTCGAGAGCTGGTCGAGTTTTTGGGATAGAGCGGCTACGCTGCGTGTTGCTTCGTCGGCTGAAGTGGCGGCTTTGGCGGCCTTGTCTACGGCACGCTCGAGTTGCTCTTCAAAGTATGCGCGTTGTGATTCGAGCTGGGAGGTGAGGAGGTAGGCGTACTCCATGCCCATGTTGTCCAGCTTCTCGCGCGGGACCGTGTC